TTCTGTCTGAATTTTGCTGTGATGAATAAAGATCTAACGCAGTCCAGTAGCGAATTAGTTGCTGTAGCAATTCACAAAATCAGTATAATGAAGGAAATGTTGAAAGATTTTAAGAAAACAGGTATATACTCTTTCTAGCCTTAGTTTGCTTTAATGTAAGGAATGCACCAATCTATTTGTGGAATACATACATGGTGTTGTGAAATACACACATGGTGTTGTGAAATACACACATGGTGTTGTGAAATACATACATGATGTTGTGGAATACACGCATGGTGTTGTGGAATACGCCCATGATGTTGTGGAATACATACATGGTGTTGTGAAATACATGCATGGTGTTGTGGAATACACACATGATGTTATGGAATACACACATGATGTTGTGGAATACATGCATGGTGTTGTGGAATACACATGGTGTTGTGGAATACACCCATGATGTTGTGGAATACACACATGATGTTGTGGAATACACACATGATGTTATGGAATACACCCATGATGTTGTGGAATACACACATGATGTTATGGAATACACACATGGTGTTGTGGAATACATGCATGATGTTGTGGAATACACACGCATGATGTTATGGAATACACACATGATGTTATGGAATACACACATGATGTTGTGGAATACACGCATGATGTTATGGAATACACACATGATGTTATGGAATACACACATGATGTTGTGGAATACACACATGATGTTATGGAATACACACATGATGTTATGGAATACACACATGATGTTGTTACACATGGAATACACACATGATGTTGTGGAATACACACATGATGTTGTGGAATACACACATGATGTTGTGGAATACACACATGATGTTGTGGAATACATGTTATGGCATGATGTTGTGGAATACACACATGATGTTGATGTGGAATACATGCATGATGTTATGGAATACACACATGATGTTATGGAATATGGAATACACACATGATGTTATGGAATACACACATGATGTTGTGGAATACACACATGGATGGATACACACATGGAATACACATGATGTTGTGGAATACACACATGATGTTGTGGAATACATGGAATACACACATGATGTTGTGGAATACACACATGATGTTATGGAATACACACATGTTGTGGAATACACACATGATGTTATGGAATACACACATGGTGTTATGGAATACACACATGGTGTTGTGGAATACACACATGGTGTTGTGGAATACACACATGATGTTATGGAATACACACATGGTGTTGTGGAATACACACATGATGTTATGGAATACACACATGATGTTATGGAATACACACATGGTGTTGTGGAATACACACATGGTGTTGTGGAATACATGCATGGTGTTGTGGAACATGGAATACACATGATGTTGTTATGGAATACACACATGATGTTATGGAATACACACATGATGTTATGGAATACACACATGGTGTTGTGGAATACACACATGATGTTGTGGAATACACACATGATGTTATGGAATACACACATGGTGTTGTGGAATACACACATGGTGTTGTGGAATACATGCATGGTGTTGTGGAATACACACATGATGTTGTGGAATACACACATGATGTTATGGAATACACACATGATGTTGTGGAATACACACATGATGTTGTGGAATACACACATGATGTTATGGAATACACACATGGTGTTGTGGAATACACACATGGTGTTGTGGAATACACACATGGTGTTGTGGAATACACACATGATGTTGTGGAATACACACATGGTGTTGTGGAATACACACATGGTGTTGTGGAATACACACATGATGTTATGGAATACACACATGATGAATACATGTGATGGTGGAATACATGGTGTTGTGGAATACACACATGGTGTTGTGGAATACACACATGGTGTTGTGGAATACACACATGATGTTATGGAATACACACATGGTGTTGTGGAATACACACATGATGTTATGGAATACACACATGATGTTGTGGAATACATGCATGAATACACACATGGTGTTGTGGAATACACACATGATGTTATGGAATACACACATGGTGTTGTGGAATACACACATGATGTTATGGAATACACACATGGTGTTGTGGTTGTGGAATACACACATGGTGTTATGGAATTGTGGAATACACACATGATGTTGTGGAATACACACATGGTGTTGTGGAATACACACATGATGTTATGGAATACACACATGGTGTTGTGGAATACACATGGTGTTGTGGAATACACGCATGGTGTTGTGGAATACACGCATGATGTTATGGAATACACACATGGTGATGTTGTGGAATACACACATGATGTTGTGGAATACACACATGATGTTATGGAATACACACATGATGTTATGGAATACACACATGGTGTTGTGGAATACACACATGATGTTGTGGAATACACACATGATGTTGTGGAATACACACATGGTGTTGTGGAATACACACATGATGTTGTGGAATACACACATGATGTTGTTCTTTAATTCTTCAAGGGGCACACTCTCTTTGAAGCAGAGCCAAGAGACCCACTAGATTGTTTCGATGGCACTATTCATTTTATTCGACCTGTCAAAATATTTGTCTTCCCCTGGCCAATTAGTTCAGTTCTACAACTGGTAATTACACTTGTGATGTTGCCAGGCTTTTTTGTCTGTTTCTGGAGACCAAAGAGCCAGTTAGGGAAAGCATTTAAACAAGGATTGATAAAATGTCAGAAAGATTTATAGAAATCTCATTTTTGAATCCATTCTGTTACACTGGCACCGAGATTCCTGCAACAGATTCGGTCAAGATGACATACATCTCTGCTGGAAGTTGCGAGATGTTTCAAGAGACTTCAATGCTATGATTGTCCAATCAACATCAAGGCACACAAGCCTCTTCATCCGCAAAATGTTACAATCTACTTCCATTGTGGCACTGTACATGTCATTTTCTCTGTATAGTCAATTTAGAGGGTTTGTTGGGGCAGATTTACTATCAAAATATTGCCGGCAATTGCACGTTAGCTGGTCAGCAGTATCGATTGTTGAGATGCTTCCTAGAATTGTGTTTGTGCTTCAACCAGTCAATAATGCTGTAATTCCTACTTGCAGTAGTTTATGAGATGAGCTGCTCTATAATCAAGTTACGGTTTAATTTGTCTCATTCGAGAAAATTACATGTGAGTAAATATGTTTTAATCCAACACAACTTATCTCGTACAAAGTAAACAGAAGTTATGTTGATTCCATCACACTGTTATTGAGTGTGATCACTTTGATAAAGAAATGTTTGGGAAATATCGAAAATCAATAGCAGGTCTTTTTTGTGAGATAGTTTTGTCAACTGGTCTGCTTTCATTCACAGTATCAATAACCTGCTGTTTCAATATTGAAAGTAGGCCTATCATTGAGAAATTGATATTCTGTAGCCCAGAGATTGAGTTGAAAATTGCAGTAGGTCTTTAATTGTACTCATGTTAGTACTGCAAACAACAGGCTTGGACAGAAACAATCCCATGCAGACTGGTTGTCGCTGTAATATACGCTACAGAGTTACAGGGCTCCAGATAATTTTTCAACATCAGGAGTACGTACTCCTTTTTTGTTCAATATAGGAGTACTGGAAAAACTTAAGAGTACATTTAGAATACTGAATGGAATTTAATGGCGTATCAGTAATCTTGTGTTTTGTTTCATATATGCACTACAGCATTGCTAGTCTTGTGTAAACAGGTCAATAAACAATAAATCAATACTTTTTCATATACGTACGTCTTAAATGAATCTAACACCATACACCATTGCTGTGGTGCGTATCTGCTATTCTAATTTATTTCGTACCGTATCGTGCATATTTTTTATCCGTACACACGCCGATACGACCCTTATCTGGAGCCCTGGAGTTATGTTCCTTAGGCAAACCAGGATCCTGTGATCATGGGTTGTAAAACTGTTTGCACTGATTATATTTCGACTTGTCAGCATCCACATATCCTGCTTGTAGGTTCACGAATCGTAAACACTAAAACTTCCTCACTGTATAGGTCTCAGCCATATCAAGCTGACATGTGGTGATATGACGGTATGACGGTATGTCAGGAACCTGAAAGTATGAATATATGACAATTATCTTATGCTTGAAACTTGTTTTGCTTAGGGCAGTCTTTACTGTACAATGGCTCTGAAATCTGATTTGCTGTACGGGAAATATGAGTGAAGACTTTGAATAAGTCAGTTTTGCAAAGGCTCGATCTCGTGGTCACATGACACCTTTATCCTGAACACTGCCAAGACTGTCGCATGTGGCTGGTGACGGGGAAATATCAGAAAGATGAGTAGGCATTTGAGATTTGTTCTTGTTAGAGATTCTGGTTTCTTGGTTGTTTTGTGAACTTTTCCTATTGTTTCCTGGCATTTCCTGGCATTTGGAGGCTCAAATGTGTCTTCATGTGGGTGATAAACTTGTGTTATCAAATTGTCAGTGTTTACATCATGTTATTGTTTGGGATTTGAGATAAAGGAGTCCAACACAAATAAGAATGGTTTAACCACCTATTGCTTTGATAGAATTTCCAAATCTCTACTCTGCTTACACTACATAATGATGTAGAATTATTGGTCTTCAGCAACCCAGGCATGTAAGAGGCAACGATCTGGATCGGGTGGTCAGGCTCGCTGACTTGGTTGACACATGTCATCATGTCCCAATTTTGTAGATCAATGCTGATGCTGTTGATCACTGGATTGTCTGGTCCAGACTCGATTACTTATAGATCACCTTCATATATCTGGAACATTGAAGAGTGAGGCAACCAACAAACCACCATACATAATGATGTACTAGTCAAGAAGTTGAAGGATACTTTTTTGTATGGCAAGATGGATCTGAATGATGTCATAACATGACAGATTAATTATATAGTGATGTGAAACACAAGTTCTTTAACTTCCATTTAGTAGTATATGTTGTTTTTCTTCTTTTTTTTCAGGAGAGGGGAAGTTGGTGTGAGAGTGCAGGTCAAAGGTCATGTCTTCCAAAAGCACCAGCAGCACCCTTGTGCACTACCGGTGAGTTGCATGCACCACCACTGACAGCATAGCTTATGTCCTGTTGGAGGACACTGTGTAGTTCTTGTACTTGGAATACTTGTACAAAATTGTACACAGGTTAAACTTGACTAATCATATTTTGCTTCCTTGTGCAGTTGGTCATTAATGGCTGGGAAACTTGTTCGCTTTAGAGAAACAATCTTAAGACATGGGTTCTTGAGAAACAGTTTTAGGGCAATATGTTCTTGAGAAAGAGTTTTACTACAAAATATGCTGTAACAGGAGGATCTGGTTTCAGGTCCTCAGGTCCGCAGGATTCAGGGATCAAAGTCATAATCATATTGACAACCAAACACAAGATTTTGCAAACCAATTAAATTTATTTCAAACTCAACTTATATATATCATAAATTCAACAATAAACTAAGTTAAATAAACAACAAAAATAATAATGCCTCCCAGGATCCTAAGAAAAGTGAAAATCCTATTAAATATACCTATACTATTGCCCCTTATCCCAACTTAATTCCCCAAAATAATGTTCCCTGCAAAATAAAACAAAAATTAACTACCTAACATTATCTAACCTAAACTTTATTTCTTCTTTAAACTAAAATTGAAAGAACTTAAAACTCTGTTTGCCTAGTCTCCAGAAACAATAGTGAATTTCTCACCTTTCTTGCCTCTGTAAGACCCCAGAGTGCAGAGAAACTAATAATCTGCCCTTTTATACCCCTAACCTATAACTCTACCCAATAAAAACCATGCTCTGAAAATTACCCAATAAATGCCTACAAAAGAAAAGTTCAGTGTATTATTTTTAGCCTAGCCTATGCCTAACCCTGTCCCAACTCTAAAAACAAGCCTAATTTCTACTGAAAATATAACCCTACCATTACAATGCTCTTGAGAAACAGTGTTAGGGCAATATGTTCTGGAGAAACAGTTTTAGGACATATGCTCTTGATAAATAGTTTCAGGGTAACAGGTCCTCATGAGTAACAGTTTTAGGACAATATTCTCTGGAGTAAAAGTTTTAAGACATGCTCTGGAGTAACAATTTTAACACATGCTCTGTCTGTAAAAGTCTGGAAAACCTGGTTTAGGACGTGATCTAGAGAAACAGTTTTAGGACAATATTAGCTCTGTGGTTTTCGGAAAATGGTTATGTAACATAATGCAATTGAAAACATGCTCAGTAGCATAGTGGTTCTCGGACATTATGTTCGATTCCCCACATGGGCACATGTGTTGATTTCTGGTGTCCCACCAATGTGATATTGCTGGAAATTGCTTTCTTCAGACAGTTAAGTTTACACTCGTCTAATTTTATTGTGGACAATAGTGTTTGTATGGAGTCATTGCACTCAGCCATGTTGTTGTCTCCCATTTACAAATAGGAACAAGTTTTAAAATTAGAGGCACTTTGCAGAAAAATAGATATAATTGCCATGGGAACAGAATCCTGTCGACATGAAATTTCAACGTCATTGGCAGCTTTGAACATCAAAGTGTATATATCAAACTTGGAATAGAAAATGTGACGAGATTTGAGGGTTTTGAATAAATGCTACGTCCCCAAGGGGACATGGAGATGAGTGCTGGTGAGTGGTCCAGTCATGGGAAGAATTGGACGAGACTGATTGCTGTTCCCACAAAGATGGGGGTCAGAGGTGGGATAGACATCACCAGGTTCCCAGTACTGAACAGAATTCAGGAGTAGTAAATCGAAGCTCTGCTATCATCAGATGTAATTATGTAAATGTTTGCATCTGTGCTGTTTAATAAATATGCCTGTTTGTGCCATCTCTTCAGAATTCATATTCGAATGTTTCCTCTCATATAAATTCAAATGGAGAACTAGATCCTAAAATAACTTCAGCTAATAGAAAATCCATTTCATTATCTGTGATTCATATACAGTATGTGATTTCTGAAAGAATGATTTACTGAGCTATATCTCCCCGCTGTGTGTACTGTGTGATCTTTTCCCGACACCTACACTGAAACAACAGATCTAGGTGCCCGTGAGGACATGCTGTGTGATCTGTTCCCGACACCTACACTGAAACAACAGATCTAGGTGCCCGTGAGGACATGCTGTGGGATCTGTTCCCGACACCTACACTGAAACAACAGATCTAGGTGCCCGTGAGGACATGCTGTGTGATCTGTTCCTGACACCTACACTGAAACAACAGATCTAGGTGCCCGTGAGGACATGCTGTGTTATCTGTTCCCAACACCTACACTGAAACAACAGATCTAGGTGCCCGTGAGGACATGCTGTGTGATCTGTTCCCCAACACCTACACTGAAACAACAGTTCTAGGTGCCCGTGAGGACATGCTGTTGGATCTGTTCCCGACACCTACACTGAAACAACAGATCTAGGTGCCCATGAGTACATGCTGTGGGATCTGTGCTCGACACCTACACTGAAACAACAGATCTAGGTGCCCGTGAGGACATGCTGTGTGATCTGTTCCCAACACCTGCACTGAAACAACAGATCTAGGTGCCCGTGAGGACATGCTGTGGGATCTGTTCCCAACACTGTTCCCAACACTACACTGAAACAACAGATGCCCTAGGTGCCCGTGAGGGACATGCTGTGTGATCTGTTCCCGACACCTACACTGAAACAACAGATCTAGGTGCCCGTGAGAGGGACATGCTGTGTGATCTGTTCTCGACACCTACACTGAAACAACAGATCTAGGTGCCCGTGAGGACATGCTGTGTGATCTGTTCCCAACACCTACACTGAAACAACAGATCTAGGTGCCCGTGAGGACATGCTGTGTGATCTGTTCCCAACACCTACACTGAAACAACAGATCTAGGTGCCCGTGAGGACATGCTGTGTGATCTGTTCCCAACACCTACACTGAAACAACAGATCTAGGTGCCCGTGATGACATGCTGTGTGATCTGTTCCCAACACCTACACTGAAACAACAGATCTAGGTGCCCGTGGAGGACATGCTGTGTGATCTGTTCCCAACACCTACACTGAAACAAACAGATCTAGGTGCCCGTGAGGACATGCTGTGTGATCTGTTCCCAACACACTGAAACAACAGATCTAGGTGCCCGTGAGGACATGCTGTGTGATCTGTTCCCAACACCTACACTGAAACAACAGATCTAGGTGCCCGTGAGGACATGCTGTGTGATCTGTTCCCAACACCTACACTGAAACAACAGATCTAGGTGCCCGTGAGGACATGCTGTGTGATCTGTTCCCAACACCTACACTGAAACAACAGTTCTAGGTGCCCGTGAGGACATGCTGTTGGATCTGTTCCCGACACCTACACTGAAACAACAGATCTAGGTGCCCATGAGTACATGCTGTGGGATCTGTTCTCGACACCTACACTGAAACAACAGATCTAGGTGCCCGTGAGGACATACTGTGGGATCTGTTTCCAACATCTGCACTGAAACAACAGATCTAGGTGTCCGTGAGGACATGCTGTGTGATCTGTTCCCAACACCTACACTGAAACAACAGATCTAGGTGCCCGTGATGACATGCCGTGTGATCTGTTCCCAACACCTACACTGAAACAACAGATCTAGGTGCCCGTGAGGACATGCTGTGTGATCTGTTCCCAACACCTACACTGAAACAACAGATCTAGGTGCCCGTGAGGACATGCTGTGTGATCTGTTTCCAACACCTGCACTGAAACAACAGATCTAGGTGCCCGTGAGGACATGCTGTGTGATCTGTTTCCAACACCTGCACTGAAACAACAGATCTAGGTGCCCGTGAGGACATGCTGTGTGATCTGTTCCCAACACCTGCACTGAAACAACAAGATCTAGGTGCCCGTGAGGACATGCTGTGTGATCTGTTCCCAACACAACTCTACACTGAAACAACAGATCTAGGTGCCCGTGAGGACATGCTGTGTGATCTGTTCCCAACACCTGCACTGAAACAACAGATCTAGGTGCCCGTGAGGACATGCTGTGTGATCTGTTCCCAACACCTACACTGAAACAACAGATCTAGGTGCCCGTGAGGACATGCTGTGTGATCTGTTCCCAACACCTACACTGAAACAACAGATCTAGGTGCCTGTGAGGGACATGACATGCTGTGATCTGTTCCCAACACCTACACTGAAACAACAGATCTAGGTGCCCGTTAGGACATGCTGTTGGATCTGTTTCCAACACCTGCACTGAAACAACAGATCTAGGTGTCCGTGAGGACATGCTGTGTGATCTGTTCCCAACACCTACACTGAAACATTGCAGATCTAGATGCCCGTGAGGACATGCTGTGTGATCTGTTCCCAACACCTACACTGAAACAACAGATCTAGGTGCCCGTGAGGACATGCTGTGTGATCTGTTCCCAACACCTACACTGAAACAACAGATCTAGGTGCCCGTGAGGACATGCTGTGTGATCTGTTCCCAACACCTACACTGAAACAACAGATCTAGGTGCCCTGAGGGACATGCTGTGTGATCTGTTCCCCAACACTACACTGAAACAACAGATCTAGGTGCCCGTGAGGACATGCTGCGGGATCTGTTCCCAACACCTACACTGAAACAACAGATCTAGGTGCCTGTGAAGACATGCTGTGTGATCTGTTCCCAACACCTACAGTGTCTGGCCCAACTGCTATCAATATACTGTTACCGCTACAAATCCCATCTATATGGTAATATACACATCAAAACATAGCAATACATACATAGAGATGTACAAATAAATGTTGGTGAATAAACACCTACCTCACCTCAGATACACAGGCGCACCATGGGGAAGTCACCAGTTGGGCTGATATCTATGTGTGTATTATAATATAAAATGTGGGAAGACCATTTCTGGTGTCTCCTGTCATGGAATTACAGGAATATTGCTAAAACCCGACTCACTCACTCACGTAATAATGACACAACTGAAATGTATATCACATGCACATGCATGCACGCACATAGTTTCCCATATAATAATAATATAGTAATTTGACACTAATATAGCGTTG